GCCAGACACAGAGGAAGCAAGATGTGAAGGCAGAACTGGGAAAAGGTATCAAGCCATGTGGCTAAACAGAAATAAGAATTATGGGTTAATATAAGTGTAAGATCTAGCTAGCAAGAAGCCTGAGCCATTAGGCCAAAGAGTTCAAATTAATATAAACATCTATGTGTTTATTTGGGTCTCAGTGGCTGCAGGCCCGGGCGGGACTGGAGAAAACTCCAGCTACATTAACTCTTGCAGATGAATAGTATTTGAGTTGCTGCTTCCACTGGCTGAAACAGCATGGTTGACAGATAATCTCGGCATTCCTGGTTTTTGTTTTTTTGTTTTTGTTTGTTTGTTTTTTTTTTCTGCTGTAATCTTTCTGAGCTTTTGTACATCTTGCAAATGGCAAGAAACCCAAAGCAGGTCTGAATTAAAGTTAGTGTGTGTAAGGTAATTATGGTGGTTGGTAAGAGTAGTTACTCAGAAAAGTGGTAACCTTTGTCATCATTGAGTGATTTTTGTAAAAAAAATCTATGAATGTTGACTTTTATTATGTCACTATTAGCCCACTACTAGAGTATTTAGCATATAAGCTATTGCTATTATTATTATTATTATTACAGAACAAATTACTAGAAATCATGCTTTGAGGAAGGATTTATGCTAATGGGCAACATTTACTGCAAGATCCTTGTCAGGCAGGTTTTTTACCCTATTAATGAACCCTCTGGTGATTTGTACTCAAGGGAGTTGTTTTTTATTTTAATGTTGCATATCCTCAACCACATTCAAATTATTGCCACAATGAAGACACTTGGAAGTAGGTAACTATTAGATAATAGAAAATTCCACTTGTAAGTAATTTTTAATCCACAGGATTTTTATAGCAAACGTTTGTGTTTTTCCTACTGCTCAGTACCCTGCGTACCTGCCAAGCTGGATAAATAACAGGCTCTGATGATTTTGCACCTGGTGTCATAGAAACAGTGGGAATCAAGGATTAAAGTGGTGCATATAGTGATCAGGTTTCCTAGGACAAATTGAAGCAGTGCTGTGACAGTTATTTGGAAAATCCCGGCTCAAACCTGTTTTATGAAAGTGGAGGCAACATTGATTGAACACTTACTATGTGCCAACCTGTGTACTTAACATTTAGTGTGCTGCATTGATTCATCTTCCCTGGAAAATACGTGTACTGACTAGAAATATGGGCTTTGAGGTTTAGAAAGTTCCAGAACTTGCTTAGGGTTGAACATTCAGTGACAGGAACAGGAGTCCATCTTAGCAATGCTGTCACTAAAGTCTGTGCATGTCCCCCCGGCCCCTCAACTTTACATCATAGCTTTGCAGGAGTATTTGATATCTTGTCAGCTTTGGTAGTAAAATCTTTATTGTTTGATGAAATTGCCTGCTAGAAAAGGAATATGCAAGTAGCCTTTTCTTTAGAAGTAATGTTCAGAGAGCAAGAATGCCATTCTCAGCTCTTCCAAGGTGTATGTGCACACTCACACATGCATTAGCTCATCTTTCTCAAGTTTGAGCTGAAAATAAGGTCTAAGTGATGAAAAGTTAGAATCTTCCAGAACCCAGGTTGGGATTCAGAATTTAAGACTCATATAATTGTCAGTGAGACTTTCTATATATATAATAATGTCCACAATAGAGGGATAGATGGTGACATCAGAGGACACAATCTCAATACTCTTCCATAGTTATACTGTAACTTTCATGTGCCAGACCTCCTGCTTATCCAGCTTCTTAAATTACAGTCTTCCAAATGTTATAAAGCTAGCTGGTAGAGATGCCTAAGTTTATGCAGAAGTTTCTTGCTCGAGATGTAAAAGTTATGTTTGTGTAGGATTGCACATGCTCTGACCCTGGGTATATCAGAGTGAGTAATTAAATTTCTCCTAAGATTTTTTTTAAAAATGTCTTAATGGTTTTTTAGAATTTTTCTTTTTTATCTTCAAGGCAAATTAAAATGACCAAATCTTTAAAAATATTAATTGCTTCTGTCTACAGGAAAGAAATCCTTGAGTGATAATTTTAGTAACATTAACTTAAGTGTGGAGTCCCTTTGTAAAATCCTAATTATGGGATTGCATGCTTAGTGTCTGACATCTGACTTTTGAGAAGGGCTCAGTGTATGCATTACTTCAGACAGGTTTGAACAGTTTTGTATGGTATTGCCATGTGTTCCTATCAACTCTTAGTATTCAGTGGTGGCAAAAATTGAAGTAGTAGATATACCATAGAGCCTGAAACTTCATAGCTAGTACACTTGACACTTCCTAGACTTTGTATCAGTCAGTTTTTAATTTTGTGATTATTCTCCTGAGAGTCTAAGATGTAGTGGAAAGTGTTGCTGGAAGTTTTCCTGTGTCCTGCCAGGCCCACAGTTGGGACAAATCTCTCACCCACAGTCCTGTAGCCTTTTATAAAATAATCACAAAGAGGCTTAATATTAATTATAACTGCTTGGCCATTAGCTCAGGCTTATTACTGACCAGCTCTTACACTTAAATTAACCCATAATTCTTATTTATGTTTAGCTATGTGGCTTGATACCCTTTTTCAGTTCTGCCTTGTCCTCTTGCTTCCTCTGTGTCTGGCTGGTGACTCCTGACTCAGCCTTCCTCTTCACAGAATTCTCCTTGTCTGCTTGCTTCACCTATACTTCCTGCCTGGCTACTGGCCAATCAGCATTTTATTTATCAACCAATCAGAGCAACACACATTCACAGCATACAGAATGACATTCCACTGCAGGAAAGAAATGAAATTGAGGATACTGGGAAGCTGCCTGCATAGCTGGGCATCAGTGTTGGAGACAGGAGAAAGCAACTTGGTGTGCTTTGTGTATCTGCAGTCTGTTTCCACTGAGGCATTATTGCATACATCTCAAGTGTATGCCATGTGCATTGCACATATTCCCTTTAGCAGTCAGTGACTGTGCTGATTGATTTGAAAGAACCTAGGAAAAGCGATCACAGATTACCAGCTTCTGGACAGGACTGAAACTGGAACTTGCTTTGTAGACCAGGCTAGCCTGAAACTCAAAGCCTGCTTCTGCTTTGAGAGTGCTGGGATTAAAGGCATGTGCTACCATGTCTGGCCATACCCCCCCCCTTTTTTTTAAAAAGTCATTTAAATTGTTTTTGGTGGTGGGTGGGGGTATTAGACAAGAAGCAGACTTTACTATTTCTTCTGACCATGTGACCCTGGCCAGCATACTCAAGTATCTTTCCCAACTCCCAGAACTACTGCCAGCCACATTGTCAGGGGACATGAAAGAATAAATAACTGCAGGTTTCTTCGGCAATTAGAACAGTTACTGCATAACAAAGAGGAGCCATAATTGAGATTTTTGTGACCAGAAAGGTTTAAACCTCTTCCGTGGGGATGACAGTGGCAGTGGACATGTGCCCTCCCCAGTGAGGGGCAGTGTGGTTCTGCCTTCCAGAGAGTAATAAAGTCAGTGAAGTCAGCTAACTGACCTGCAGGGCTTGCTGCCCTGCTTCCTCTTCTAATAAAAACTCCAGTTCAGTAGTTGTTTACTAGGAAAGGTTTGTTCCAGTCCTGTGTTAGGTGAAATTGATTAACGAAGAAGTGGTCATTGTTACAGGGGACACCTAGCTTTTGAGAGGGGCAACTTCTTAGTGGGAAACAATAGTGCATGCTTGGGTACTGTGGCATGCTGGGTTAGGTGTCCCCAGTACAGGGACCTAAAGGAATGACTGCAGTGCGTATGTAGATAAGTCAGAATCGACTGGCGACAGGCTAGTGTCCCACCATTTTAAAATTCGTATGTGTATACTGCTATATGAATAAACACAACTGAAGTATTACTGAGTTCACGTCTATTCCTTATCACGTGGCCATTTTTCAAGCCACAGATACCAGGAGCTCCTTGTTCTCAGAAGCTCAGGGAATGTACTAGAAGTATGGGAGTCACACATGCATTTCAACTAGACAACCTCTCACCTACACCCTGCATGAGACTCCTTGAGAATCTAAGGACTTGGGAATACACTGAGTGAGACATTTGGTGCAAAGCTGTGTTTGATGATCTCTATGGCCTTTTTTGTCTATGCGTCCTAGGGCAATGCTGCTTCAGCATGGTTTGTCCTAAATGGTTGCAAGTGCTTCGTTTACACTTTAAATCTTCATAATTTAAAGCTTTTGTTATTTATTAGTGTACCATTGGAGACATTATTCACATTTAGTGTTTTCGACCCTGTTGTTTCTCACCCTAGCTTTCCTCTTTCTGATAGGTGATATTTGTTTTTGAGTGTCCCATATGGTTCCTGTGACATTCTATGTAGAATGTCCAGAAAAGTGTGTTTGATACTGGTAGACACATGGCCTTTCTAAAGTCATTTTTATTGATTATATGAGAACAAGATGCTAAAGCTTTCAAATAGTTTTTTCTTTTAGAAGACTAATTCATGCTCCCTATGGCCTTATTTTCCATTTTCCATGCACCACTAGAGAGTGTGGCATTTTAAGCTAGATCACCTTTTTATAACACATTTCCATTATTAGCACTGCTCACATGCATTATGTTTTACTCTATGTTGGTTACTAAGAGACTAAAAGCCACTTGGTCAGTTACCTCTTAGGGATCTCATCACTAGAATTTAGTTTTAAAACACAATCTCTTTCTCTTTTCCTTTTTGATAGTAGTGCTGGGAATTGATCAAATTGTAATGTTATCTTTGATTAACATAGCAGATTAAAAAGCCTCATGCCATTGCTCTGTCTAGATTCAGGTTTTATGTTGAGAGATTTATTTAAGCTTTGTTTATTGTTTTCATCATTGATAACTCATTAAAGTTTTTATGGCTTTTTGAAATTTAGTTGGCATATAATAAATTGTAAATATCTAAGGACCCAATTTGAAGAGGTTTCACATACCATAGGTGTGTGACTATGAAACCATCTTCACAGTGTGGATGGTGAGTATGCCTACTCTTTCCTATTGCCTTGTGCTACTTTGTCATTCCTGCTGACCCTAGCTCTCCAGTGCTCCTGTTTGGATCAGGACAGACCTCACAGTGTGGCATTGCTGACACATGTCCTTTTAGTTCCAGTTCTGACATCATAAGAGATCTTCTGGAGGAAGAAGAAGCCTGGGAAGCATCTCACAGGTGAGTTCTCACTGTCAGCAAGTGTGTGACCTGGGGCCTGAGAAATGAGAGCCCTGTGCAGCTAATTCTAGACAAGACATTGTGCTTTCGAATGGACGGAGAGACTAATAATCCAGGTGGAAAGCAAAGACTTGTGCTGTGTTTCTTGTCTGTGTAGTCTCACTGTGGAACTGTGCCCTGGTGTAATAACTAGTTACTGGTTGATGTCCTTTCTGTGTCCTTGTTAGTTCTTGGGACAGTGTGATAATTTGCAAAGCACAGGCTCGGGGTAAATAAAAAAAATCCTTCCTCCTGTCTGAGGTGAATTTCTCCTTCTGCCTCCTCCCTACCCCTGTGTCTGGAGCCACTTTTCTTTGTTTTCTTTCTCTTACACAGGCAGCCTCTCCCTTTTAGCTGGGTCTTTCTCCCTTGTCCTCAGTGTGCAGGGGGAGCCTCTGCAGCCACAGGTCAGGCTCCTTCCCGCTTCCTTAGTCGTGATGTCATCTTGCAGTTTCTATTTCTTTATCTTCCATTTTCAGCCTTCTTTGAAGGCCTCCATACTGCTAAATCCAGAGGCCATGTTCAGAATTCACTTTCCTTGCCTCATTAACAGTGTTTTATACTAAGCAGGAAGTTCAGAAGTTCAAGGTCATCCTCAGCTTTGTATCAAGTTTGAGGTCAGCCTGGGCTACATGAGACCCTGTGTTCAAAATAAAAAAAAAAAATGATGATGACGATGTTTTAAGATAAAGTAGAATAAATTCGCAGTGGATAAAAATGCTACAATAGAAGGTATCTGAATAACACCAAAGAAGACAGAGATGGTGGAATGGAGAAATGGCACACACACACACACAAAAGCAACACACACACAGAAGCAACACACAAATTCTGCTCTATGAGTGATTGTAGGAATGGGGTTATAACCCAATCAGAATACAGACACTACAGAATGGATTGAAAACAATCTGTGCTGTGCCCTGTGCTTTGTCTACAAAGGACACATCTTTGATTCCAAGACAGCAATATATTGAAAGCAAAAGAATAGAAAAAGATATGTCATAGCCATCCTGAAGGAGGCTAATATAACAATAGTATTGACAAGATAGACTTGAAGGTAAAAAGTGTAACAGAGCCAACGACATTTATAATCTTGAAAAGGTCAATCTATCAAGAAGACAAAATGATTGAGAACATATATACATGTAACAAGAGTCCCAGAGTACATGAAGCAAAAAGATGGAATGGAAAGCTACCACAGGCAGCAAGAAGTAAAATTTCATCCAGCCCCCCCCCCAAAAAAAAAAAAACTATTGCCGTGGACACAGACTCCCTTTCATCACAGCCCTTTGTGGATAGAGGCCATGCAGGTTACAGTGGACCTGCAGAATTGCATGCTGATGGTGTACCACCCACCAGTGGGCTTCTGTTTCCTCAGAGAATAGTTTCCTAAAGCAAAAGAACTTGGGAATTCTCTGGCTCTGTGAATCCTTCATGTTCTCCAGGCACAGGCCCATCTCTGCTCTTTTAAAGTGCTATGTCAGGAACAGTGTTCAGACACACTGAACCGCAGACCTTCCTGGGGGTCTCATTCTCCTCTTTTTTCTATTTACTTGCCTTTTTATTTTCTTGGTACTGTTTCTCAAAGTACAACTTTTAATTTTGATGAAATATGTTATGTCTATTTCAATTATTTTTGTCCTACCTAGGAAGCCTTTTCCTAACCCAAAAATCACTCAATAGTTTTCTTTTATGGCTTAGAAGTATTAGATTTTACATTAAGGTTTATAACCTATTTCAGGTACATTTTTATAAGTGTCATAAGGTGTGGCAATGACTGGTTCAGTGGTTCCTTTGTGTATAAGGCATTCCCAATGCTCTAGCATTAAGTATTAAAGAGATGACCCATGTCTATTTCATATGTGTGTATAAATTTGTTTCTGGAATCACTCTTATGTTTGTTGATCATGTAGATGTCTTTTTAACATTTTGTAATTGGTGTTTGATAATGCTTTAAATCAGGTAACGAGAGACTTATTTTTTAATAAATGTGTAATGATTTATATTAGGTTCATTTATTGTATTTTGATAAATGTGTAAGGTGGCAGAGGAAGGGTTGAAATGTTCCTTGGTAGTGTAGCTGCTGTGGCCTGTATAAAGCTGAGATGATCCTTGGACCAGATTGGCTGTACTCTTCTGTATGTCATTTCCATTTGACATGTAGGTTCTGCTGAGCTCTTCTGGTCTTTGATAGATAACCTACTGCAAAATGGGACGATCCTGGTACAGAGTGGCAGTCTTTAGCATCCACAGGGGTCTGTTGCATCGTGTACTAGATGGCTTAAACAATAGAAATGCATGTTCCTGCAGCTCTAGAGGTGGGAAGTCCAGAATCAAGGTGTTGATGGAATTGATCATTGAATGCTCTCATTTTTGGCCATTTTCTGCTTAATGACTTTAAAAATGGTGTTGGGTTTATGCTGTTTCAAAAGCTCAGAATTCTAGGACCAGCAAGATGACTCAGTGGGTAAAAATGCTTGCAGCTGAGCCGATGACCTGAGTTTGATTCCTCAGGCTTATATGGTAAAAATAGAGAACCTGCTCCTGTGAATCACCCTCGTACACAATATA